GCTTGCTGCCATTTTTGGCGACCGAGGGATCAAGGGTTTTGGAGAAAAAGGTGAATGAAACATAGGTATCAAAAACTGTGTTCAGCCACCTTAAGCGTCGTTATGAATGCTGAAAAACACAACAGTTCACTCAACAAAGTGCACCGCAACAGCGCGCGCAAAATGACGCGTACTGTCCAATTACAAGCATGACTCGTACACTGTCCAATTAATGCTCAAATCGGGCTGCTGATAGCCAATCAATCACGTTCGAGAATTTTGTTATAGTTTTGATTTTTTCAGTAATCGACTGACTCTTACTACAAAGGCAATGTATTACTTTGCTTGGTGTGACGACATTAATTCTGGTCAGAAAGACTTATCCTTTTTTCCAACTATATATTGAGCACACTTTTATTTTGAAAAGATTTAAGGAGAATCGTCAAACATGTGGTATACGATTAAGCTAGACGAAAGTTGCGATCCTCCATATGAAAAGTAGGGACACCGAGGGTATGTATTGTTCACCAATGATCGCTCTAAGTGGGAGATGAATTGATAACTCTTGCTACTTTTCCATGGTGTATGAAACTGAATGTTCCGAAAATTTGTCATTTTGGCTTAGTCTCCGTTTCAACATACAATACTTAGCCAGCGTTCGCAAATGGGGAACAGGAACCTCAAGGGGTAGCCCACTGATTTATAGGATTTTGTTAATTCATGGGTGAGGGGCTGGTATCTAACTTGTTTCCAGGACTCAACGCGCGTCATCTTTCATTTGATTGTTGTCAAAGTTTCCTAAAGTTTGCAGGCTTCTCTACCGATGAATTTATTTCCAGATTTAGTTCGTATTTTATGGAGAAGACTTTAGACGAAGAAAAAGCAATGAAAAATACAGCTGTTCCCCTCTTCACAAGGATGGAACTTTGTCAAGGTACGTGAAGTTTGATTCGTCAGTGAGGGAAAAGTTTGAAGACGAAGCCCCGCCGACAGCATATCTCAGTTACCGTATTTTAGAGCAAGCCGATTATAGCGCCGTTTCGGGCTTATCTTATCTTGAATATTGAACTATTTATAACGGAGCACCCGGTGAGCTTAGACGAGCGCGGATTGAGCTTAACTATAGAGCAAAGAGATAGTCGTTAATTTCACCGCGTTCTTCTTTTGACTTTTCCTCCCGGCGCGGCCATTAAGCTCACAGAATCAAACACTTGGCTTCTGTGGCGTGACCTCGCACAGCTAAGGGTATGCCCTACTCGAGACTACATTCTTCGATTTGATAACTACGGCTATTATCATTCTATGCTAAACCGTGCACGAAATTTATTTGTTACATGTAAGCCCAACATTGTGCAAGGAGGCCGGAAGGGTTTTCAAGGTTACCCGTTGAGCAGGTTGAGTTACGTAAACTACTGAGTCTGTGAAGTCGATGAACGGGTCAGATAAACGGAGAAATTTCCAGTACTTTTCTGTATCGAGCCTACAAATTTGCCTTGTATAACCCGCGAATAATCCGTACTAAAATAATCGACTGTTGAAATCTTTTCTCGTTGTGCCTACCGGCCGCTTATTTGGGACCTCTGGTCTTGGGATATTTTAATTTGTGCCAGACTTGATATTGAATGGTTATTCACAGCTTGAAAAATCGAGCTGCATATCAACATTGATCTTACATAGTTAATTATGCATCTACAATAATAAACCAAGACCTGTGTCTATAACTGCCATCACCTCGCTGTCGGCCTCTTGAGAAATTGATTTTACTTTTGAACCTCTAGGTAAAGTAACTTCGCATCACGAGAAAATGAAGCTCGAATCGTAATTTGAGTGGGCGAAAATTATGTCTCATCGGAGAGACGGATCGGCCAGTGGAAGGACTATTCCACATACACGAATCGAGGACGAGAGGCAGATAGAGGATATCTACGAATTCGGCGAAGTTCTGGGAAAAGGGAGCTTTGGAGTTGTAAAGGAAGCGAGGAATAGAGAAACGGGTTGTGTGTGGGCCATAAAGGCTGTTAACAAGGAGAAGGTATGGAGCGCTTTTGTAGTCAGGTGCAAAATGAATTTAAACTAAATTCCCCTCAGTACATACCACTTTGGTTAAACTTAGCTACGTAAAAAGTTTGCGATAGGCCAAACATATTTCCGCCGTAAAAACCAACTTTGCAAAAGGGGCTGAGGTGAAGAGTAAGAATTTCCTTAGGAATCTGCTCTATACATGATTGATATCAGTAGGTGTTTCTGTATCTAATCTTGCTTTTCCATCAAGGTAATTGTTTATCACCTCTTAATTAAATTGTCTGCCACTTCAAGTACCTGCAGTTGAACAGCCAAGGCCTGTAATTTGTTAGTTGGCAATTGTGTTTATAGATAATGAAATGTACAAGTTAATATTAGAATTGTAGTCTCTGAATGGCAATTCATGTTATTTTTTATTTCGGGGAGCACATTTAAAAAAAAAACCATTGCAAAATGCACTTTATTTTCAATCCAACTTCTGTTTACATGACTGATGCATTAATGCAGCTATAAAAGAAGTTATTTTTATCTTTGCTTCCTTTTCCCATGCATGATCAATGACCGAGAAAACTACTATTGTCGATTAGTTTTCTAGAATGTGCAAGTATACTTTTCATTTCTATTTTTACTGGACACCCTATTGATTGCATGTGAGCGTAGTAACTGTTATCCTACAGAGCAGGGGTTGTTTGGGATGGTCCTGCATAGTAAATCTAACCTTTGGAAATCAACCTTAGTCAAACTTATCAAACTAAATCTGTGGATGGAGTTTGATTGAGTTCAGCAATCGAATGGAATCAAGCAGGAACTTTGATGAAGTTCGGCAACTAAACTCAATCAAAACACAGTCCAGTGGATTGTGTTCAACTGTGTTAAGTGAATAAATTTGCTTCCATAAAGATCTTGTTATGTGGTCTCAAAAACACAAAAATATGTGTTACACCGAAGTAATTCAAGCCTCAAAATTCTTGTTAGTGATTTTCAACACCAGTTTTACAAAAATCAGAAGTTCAGTAATGAAATATTCAATTGAGTTGGATTGTCCAATTATTTTTGTGTGAGTTCAATTTCATTTGATTGCCAAACTCAATTGAATTCAATCCATGGATTCAGTCCAACTGAGTTTGAATGAGTTCAGTTGAATTTCAGTTGGACTGGGTTTGATTGACTATGCAAGGGATAGGAGAGGGGTTGGGGGATGATACTCCACAATGTCTTAGGTGGGGCTGCTCTGCTGGTATTCACAACCTTGACCCTTTCCCAAACCTAAGATAGCTATTTTTCCTATCCCATGAGAGTGATTTACAGATGATCACCAACTGTTCTCTGTTGCTGACCCTATAGTAGATGATTAAATTGTTATCCCATGTACTGTCAAACTTGTCCATAAAACAGAGACCTCATTCTTACCAGCAGTTCACTTGATCTCAGAATAACCAGAATTCTTATAATTTCTACTCTATAAAACAGGCACCTCTTCAATACAAACATTCAGTTCTGCCCCTTTTTGTGTTCTACTGGAGAGGTTTAGCTCTATAATGAATTAATTGAAACTCTCAATTCTCCAATAGCACAGTATGCATGTAACATACCAAAATGTTGAAGGGATGAGACTACAATAAAACACCGCCTCTGGTCAACATGTAGGACTCTGTCTCCAAAAGCTGATATTTCAAGATATATGCATAACAATATAACTTATAAATGGAAAAGGGAGTACCACCCACCCTGAGGTTTCAATCGACCTTGGTTACATGTGAGTGACTCTCCTTTACAACACAGCATGAATGTACTGTGTGGAGATACTATGGTCATTATTTATTGATGCAGTGCTTAAAATATGAGATCAAAATATGCAGTTTATATTCATGAAGAGTTCAAAAGTAACTTCACTGCAAGCTTGTTTTAGAATTGTCAGTAGTGTCTGACTGATTCAATTTTCCTTCCAGGCTGGTACCTCTGCAGTTAAACTATTAGAGAGAGAAGTTCTAATTATGAAAAAGATTGATCATGAACATTTAATCCACCTGGAGGAAATATATGAAACATCAAAGGTTGGTAATTATGGCCATTTGTAGCAAATAGTGCTCTAGTTTGATTCTTACAAAAACATTAAAAATTATTCAAGAGCAGGTATGTTGCATGTAGTATTGGCATGGTCCCTGAGCAGTTGGCAATTTACATTGGTGCAACTGCGGAATAGAACTAAAGAGTTTCTCTGTATCATCAATTGCATTTCAACTCCAGCTCATGGTCCTAGAGAACAATATAAATGAATCTCTATGGGAAGTCAGGTGGACTTCTAATGTGTTGAACTGTTCCCTGACTATTCAGCAGTGCCATCTCATGAGACATGGTATTTTTAGCTGTTGCAAAGAGTATCACAAATTATTGGTTACTGAAGGTGTTTAACATATTGATACTGACATTAAAGGTACCGTTGTAATGTTTGTAAGAGCATCAATTGAAAATACGAAACTTTTAGGTACTGACAAACAGTACAGTTTGTGGAGACCGATATAAGTGCCAT